AGGTTTTTAAATGAACACTGAGAACATGGCACTGAAATTCTAACCTTCAAAATGTAACACCAACGACACATACCCACTTTGAATTGGCTTTTTATCATGCCTTTCTGCAAAGACTATTTTGCAAATTAGCTGCAGTTTCTGAAAGGCAAAATACCATTGAAGTGTTTTGAAGCCCTCTCTTCACAGCCAATGAACATATTTGAACCTGGTATGCAAACGCGAGACTGACAGAAAAAAAGAGGTTGCTGCTTCCAAGGACCGGCTTCTCAGTAGCAAACAATGGAGGACTGATTTTAATTGCCCTGAAATTCCAACTGCATATGTTGCACGGCTAATTAAGCTGTACAATCAAGTCGGATTAATGAATGCACTCATCCACTCCCAGGAATCCCCACAGAGCTCTCTTAAACAAGAATGCAGCTAAATGCCTTTCTCTCTCTCATTTAAAGTTGCAGTTCCTTACTGTAAGATCAGCCATCTAACAATTACACACTCTCACTGAGTTCAACTTTGTTCTCTGCAAAGAAAATACATTGACCTGTCTGATCATTACTTTTCGTGAAATGAACACTCTACAGTATATTCCTCTGGTCAATTTCTACCTATTGTGCATTAATAAAGGAACCTGACTTTTACAAAAGGTTGTCCATTACAAACTGATATGTTAAAGTAGAGGTGTCATGGCCATTTCCACTGATCATAATTCCATTGTTGAGGTATACTAAAATAGATTTATATTGTACATTTTTCCAAACTCACATTGGTTTCTCATACAGCATCTCTGTAACTACTTGTATTCACTGAATTCACTCTCTGCCTTTAACGGCTCGTTGTAGCTCCAATAGCTCCAGCCCCCACCCTCCCTGTGAGCACAGTGTGCTCTGATTGGTCGGGACGTTGTGAATCGCGCTGAGCTCCGTGAAGGTGTTGTTTCCTTGTTTAGGATATATAGCGAAACACAGCCAAACTCATCCTGAGCACACACAAACTCACAGCCGAAGTAAAAAACAATAAGTGTGGCTTGATATTGAGTAAGAAAAAGGTTTGATAAACGCTTGTGAGGAATGGGTCTGCAGAGAGCATTTCGGCCGCAATCCCCAACTGTCTGTTATCAGCCTGCAGCCAGGGAGGAGAGAAATCAGCAGAGCTGCCTGTGTGTGAGGAAGTCTGTGGATTGGTCAATTTGGACCAATCAGCGGGGGCTTAACGTAACGGCTCCGCCGACGTAACGTAACGGCTCCACGGATGGTCCATTTCGTTCCGGGTACGGGATTACATCATCCCGTACCCGGAAGAATCAAATGGACAATGACGTATCTCCAACGAGGCGTTTTGGGGAGGTATTTTCTGTGTTAGAGTTTTACTCGCTACAGGGTGTACTTTGAGGGTTTTGATTCAGCACACCGTTTACATGCATAAAAACCTTCATAACACACAAGGGGACGGGTAATAACCGGAAAAGCATGACACCTCTCCTTTAACTTCCACTTCTGCAAACAATGTGTCAGACAGGGTGTGTACACTCACCTTGGCAATGAACTGGATAGATGATCTCTCATCAGGGTGGTAATTGATACAGTACAGGATTAAGCCCAGGATAGAAACTAAACAAAGCTGCAACAACACATCAGAAGATATTGTAAATGTTTGCTTAAAAGCCACTCATATTAGTGCAATGAAAATACCAACATAATACACATTTTGTAGTATTTCACCATCCTATCTTGCTTTTTCTCTTATCCACTGTTGGTAATAAATGTAGATGATGTGCAGTATGTGTTGTAGAGATAGTGTTGTGTCAAGATAGTATTTTTTGCCCAGGTTTTCATGAGTATCTCTTAATATTGCACGATTCAGCACTAAGCTGTCATCTGATTACATTACTCTCTCTCTCTCTCTCTCTCTCTCTCTCTCTCCTCCGCTCTCTCTCTTCTCCTTCTCTCTCTCTCTCTCTCTCGCTCTATCTCTCTACTCTCTTCTATCTCTCTATCTCCTCTTATCTCTCTCTCACGGACACCCCCGCACTCCACCTCTTCAGTGGCATTGCAGTCTTGTGACTGGCGTGCAGCATCTTATTTTAATGTTTTTCTCAGGTTCTTAAGCACTCAGGATTCTGTGGAAAGTTCCTTGATGACCTCAGTGTTTTTCACTTGGCTGAATCTCGTTGAGGATCTACCCTCGGGATTGTGTGATGTCCAGGGATGTTTTTTTGAGAGGCAAATGGCGTCTGTGATAAGCTAGGATCCAAACAGGAACAACACATTTGTTTTCCTATCACAAAAATGTGACCTTAATTCCCATTACAAATTGGATGATAAGTAAACTACACTATGTTGTCCTTTGATATTAAAAGACAATTAACCTTTTACTTTAAAGTGTTTTTTAAACATTTAACAGTTTTAGTAAAGTGTACTTGAACTGTACTTTTAGCTTGTTACATGGTGTCTGTCGAGACACTTAATTTAGCACAGTTTATAGGTTAACTGGCATACACAAATCATTAGTTTACATTTTCTAAGTGATTCCAAACAAATTGACTAAACTTCCAGGGCTTAAATGTGTAAACTTTCCACCCCTATCAACGCTTGCCTGTACCTGAACTTTAACTTACACTTTAACTCCCCTAAATGTATCAACTTAAACTGCAACTTCCATACAAACTTTCACATGCAAGGAGTTTCCATTTTAAGACAATTCAAGACCAACTAGTCTTTAGAAAACTAAGCATTTTCTTGTAACTCTTTTAAAATGACACCTTATTAAACACAATCAACTTTGAATAAAATATTCCGCTTAGCTTTCATCTTTCTGTTTTGAAGTCAAGCCATTTCAATATGACATGCTGTAGTTAGCTTGCCAGTCTCATTCAGGCCAGAGTTGAGGATGTGTTGGACATAGAACAAAAACAACAGAAGGTGAGCATGCTTGTGTGACTTGCGACGGATTGTAGATTCAGATGAATATGACAGATGGAGGTTTATTAGAACATGGCAAAAAGAGTGACTTCCCATGCCTACAGTGAGCGTCTGGCTGAGAGGGCCAGTGTTGACGTGCAGTGTGGAGGACAGGAAGATGGACACACAAGGAAGGGAATAGCTGAGGGTCATGCAGGCGTATCACTAATGGGGAATCCATGCAAACATGTAGCTGTAGTGTATGATGTTAAAGCGTAATGACGGAGCTACAATGATTCCAGCCCAGTGTGGCGTCTCCCGGGCCATGAGTGAAGGGGCTGATGGCCAACATAAGGAAGGCCACGACTGTGACGGCCGCCCCCAACAGCAGCTGGAGCAGGGCGACGAGCAGAGGGAAGCGACAGACTCGGCACTTATGGCTGTCCTCTGGCGCTGGGCTTTCAATCTCTCTTCTCTTCTTCCTCCTTGTTTGAGGAACCTTTCTGCCCCTGCCCCATTCTCTCCTCTTTTTTCTCGTTCTGTACGCTCGACTTTTACTGTTGCAGTGATTTGGGGTGGATAAGCCTGCCTGCCTGCCGTCTGTCTCTCTCAACTTCCCTCCCCTCCCTGCCAAGGCCTCTCTCACTATAAGCACAGCTTTGTCGCTATTTGGAAACAGAGAAGGCTCTGAACTAATATGGAAAACATTTGGACTGGATTCCTAAAGCGACTCCAGTGCCACATATAGAGCAGGCAGCCTACTGTGGAGGAAAGGAAGAGGAGGGAAGGGGGGAGGAAGTCCCAAAAGGGGATTCCAACATACGACAGTGAGATGATTTCACTTTTAGTTACAATAAAGACAAGAAAGGGAAAGTACAGAGGCAAATCAGCAGGTATGAGTTAATGAAAACCCAGCACAGAGGAGGTCACACTTCATTTGAGAGCCCAAGTGATTGGATCATTCTTCGTCAGCACTGTTACACAAGAGAGCTATATGCTGCCAGCCAGAAAGAATCACATGACTTACAGGAAGAAGTAATGTGATCATAAGGCATGTGAGAGCATTACAAGGGCTCATATTTGAGTGTTTTTGAGCCTGTAAACGTTCACAAGATAGGAACAGGTGTCACTGACAATCAGATTAACTTCCTGGAGTCATTCATGAAACGCTTGTAGTTCGTTAGACATGTTGATGTAAATGCGTACTTGTACTGCTAGTTATTATAAGAATAAAATCACAAATTGGGGTGACCTAAATATTTTGGGAGATTTGTTGATTGGTTTAGGAGATTAGACAAATCAAAAAGTCAAAGTTTAATTTTGTGTTAAACATTTATTTTTAGACGGAGACAGTGAGATGAAGGTGGGGAGAGAAGCACCCATCCTCAGATTAATAGAGAATCTCTACACACGTGTTTGAGCACACAGCTGGGTGCCATGGTTACTGACAACGCAGCTTTGAACAGGTCGAGGTGTATGAATAGGTTACCCTGCCCTGATCCGGGCAACAACATGGTGTGATCAGACACACACCTCCAATATTTGTTTACTCACTGTGTTTACTTTCCCATTAATCTCAATTTCTTCACTTTATTTTAGCATTGTGTTTTTCTTGTTATGGAGAGATCAGGAGGTTCCCAGTTGTTTTTAATAAGCAGAAGGAAAACAAATCTTCGTTTGTATTAAGTGATGGTGGAGCACTTGGAACCTGTAGGGTTTTCTCTAAACTATGAATGTGTGCAAACTAGTTTGGTCATTTCTGTCTATAATGACAGCAATCACCAATTTATCTGGCAGTTTGGAGTCTAATTATTTAAAATAGCTCGAGCTGCAAAGTTAAGGACCCACATTATATGAGATGCATTAACAGTGAGATGATGCATTATTCTGCCATCCCTCAAGCTTGCATGCAGACTTTCCCCTGCTACATTTTCAAATCATGTTGAATCACGTTTCAGCAGCCGGGTCAGAAGTGTTTGGACTGGATCTCTATAGGAACAGCGGCGGTGCTCTAACAGAGCAGGTCTAATTACCGGGCTTTGTGCTGGTGCAGGCTACACGTGAGTCGGAAGCTGTTCCCTATACCCAAAGCGCGCGTGCGCTCTAACCACAGCACCGACGGCTGTGCAAAGTGGCAGCTCAGGGAAGCATAGACATCAGTCTGAAGAGCAGCTCCACTGGAGGACACTCACTGTGCATCATCTCCCTCAGCCGGCATAGTGTGTGCGGGTCGTGGAATAACAAACATTCCCAAAAGAAGCTCCGGAGCGGATAAGCAGCAGCAGAGAAGCGATGGATGAAAGAATACCGCATTTAGAGGACAGGCAGTTCATGGAGCACGCAGATTTCTTAGGGTGAGTGTCGCTTTTGGCAAACTCTGCAAAACTGTCTGATAAACTGTTATGACAACCTGGTGAATAATCTGTCGTTATTCTTGACTTTAGGGTGGATTACCCCTCTCTCTACATGTGCAAAGCAAAAAGAGGAATAAAACGAGAGGACGGTGGGAAGGTGCGTGAGGTTTATTATAGGCTATAATGCGATCTAAAAATGTAGTTTGTTGTTTCATGAACCAACATTTGTGTGTGCATGAAAGTCATGGATATGTTCACATGTACTACATTAACTTTAAATATATATCAATGTGTGTTTAAAAACGCTAAACGCCTGTTTATTTCCAGCAGGAAGCATACAAGTTACCACACCGGTTGATAGAGAAGAAGAGGAGAGACAGAATCAACGAATGTATTGGCCAGCTGAAGGATTTGTTACCCGAACATCTGAAGCTGTCGGTGAGTCCATGACACTGCAAAGGGTTTTTACGCGAATATGGCTTTACATGAGATTAGTTGTCTTAAACAGCAAACGGAACATATGTTTTGTTTCTCTCAATAGACACTCGGGCATTTGGAGAAAGCTGTTGTCCTGGAGTTAACGTTGAAACATTTAAACGCTCTGACTGCTGTCACTGAGCAGCAGCACCAGAAGATTGTCGCTTTGCAGAATGGTGAGCTGACAAACCTGAAGTTAATATAAATGTGTTGCATTAAACTTTAATAGTCCGAGGAAGTCTAGTTTTACAGCAGCAGAAAATGTACATGAATAGAACAAATAAAATATTGTGCAATTCGAAAATACGTTAACAGAATCATGTCTTGTCATTGCTTTATTATACACCTTTAGAATAATAATGTTATCCTTGCAACTATTTTGCAGGGGACCGGTCGATGAAAACGTCCATTCATGCAGATCTGGATGCGTTCCACTCCGGGTTCCAGGCATGTGCCAAAGAAGTCCTGCAGTACCTGAGTCAGTTTGAAAACTGGACTGCACGAGAGGAGAGGTGCGCGCAGCTGATCAGCCACCTTCACAAGGTGCTGGCGCAGTTCCAGCCAGGCGCACCGCCGCTCCAGCACCAGCTTCCCGCCGGGGAGGCACATGATGGGCAGAAAGCCGACGGCCAAGCTAACTGTGTCCCGGTCATCCAGAGGACCCAAGGCGGGGAGCTTAACGAGAATGACACAGACACGGACAGTGGATACGGGGGCGAGGCGGAAAAGATTGACGGCAAAGATAAAGAATGTGACCGCAATAAGGCGCAGGGACCCAAGGCAGTGAAGATCAAGCAAGAGTTTGGAGACGATCGCGCTGCCAAAAAACCAAAGATGACCTGGCCTGGGAACGGGTTAGGGGGCACTGACCCCACCAGACCCGACCTGGCGTTTATGAACTCTCTGATGGGAATAAGCAGTGTGGGACAGCAGACACCAATTTGCATGCCTTTCTACTTCATCAACCCCTCAGCCGCGGCGTCTTATATGCCTTTTTTCGACAAAAGCAACATTGAAAAGTACATGTACCCTGCCGCGGCTCTTGCCTCCCCTTTCCCCTGGCTCTACCCCGCACAAGCGTCAGCGGCCGCGGCTGCTGCAGCCGCTTTCCCCGGACTCTCTGTGCACTTTGGAGCCTCTCCTCAGTCCAGTGACTCTCACAGTCCAGACAGCGACGAGCTGCACGAGGCTGACATAGGTTCACCAGATGAGCGCGAGGAAAGTCCCGCGAGTGACGAAGAGGAGGATGACGTAGCTGATGCGTCGGAGAGCAAGAATAGCCCGCACGATCAGTTTTCTGTTTGTCAAAACAGCTAATTTGTCTGTTAACCTTCCTGTTGAGGAGTTTCTTTTCATCAAATTAGACTAGTTTTAAAACGAGGTTTCACAGAAGAGTTTCTCATGTTCAATATCCTGGCGAAACAGGGGACAGTTGTGACGGAGTGTGCCTTTTGCACTTATGCTAGATTAATACATCTAAATGATTATCGACAATGATTGACATAAATACACGGCTGTGTTGTGCTGGAGCTAGTTTTGTATCCTCTTTGATAACATATTTTGAAGTGGCAACATTGGTGCCAAATTTTGAGTACTACAACAGTGCGCAATATCCCATTCAGCGAGTCTCTTTGGATGTATGAAGTTACAACTGACCTCTGCCAAGGTTGCTAAGAGCCTGGCTGACTTTGACTGTAAATATTATTACCTGAAAGACAGTCTTGTTGATTGACATGTAAATGGGCCTATAAAATAAGTGCTCTCGAGAAGTGAAACGCCCACAGTACCTCATCCCCAATTTTGCACGGGTTAGGCTGATAGGGAGGTATAAAACTGTCCTTGATCCCACCATCAGACACTCATACAAAAACAGTTACTTTACACATAAAAACAATACATGATGATATAAAGGTTAAGGTATTATGGCTGGTTGCCCTCAACTAATTTTTACAGATCTGAGTTTCCTTTACTTTTTGTACTTGAAGTAAAGAAAAACCAATCAGTGAATTAGTTCAGAAACCCTTTATTCACAAGGAGCTGCTTGAACAGAATATTGTACGTCCCCCGAATGGAATGAAGCATCTCAGCACAGAGATGCAGTGACCTCCTGAACCTCCAGGAAACATTGTAGGATAGCACCTTATAGATCTTTGATATTGAATGTACCTGTATTTTCCCAGCTGGTAAAGTTTGTATGTAGGATGATCTTTAAAATGCACCTTTCTTTTGCTTTTACTCCCCCCAAACAGTCGCCTCATCATTTTGAAAGTCAAACACTGTAGTTCTCTCAGAACCTTTTTATTGTGTTGAGTTGTCTTGAAATAAGAAAATTTCGTTTCATTTCAAAAGAGAGAGCAGAGATACCAAATGCTTCGAGATTAATTAATGTAGTAAATGGGTGATGAAGCCAGATTTGATAAAATAATGTTTATTTCAGTTTTTGACTTGCAAAAATTCAAATCATAATCAGATTTGAAAACGATCCCTGATTGTGTCTTTTATGCTTTCATTATGTAAAACCTTGCTTTCAAATATTTGACTTACGTGTTAAAGCAGCTGTGGTCATGTGACCTACACTTGATAATGAAGATTTAGGATCTTTAACTTGGCCTGTTTTCTAAGAGATTAAGATTCCTGCAATGTAGTGTTGTTCCACTTTTTAAGTTTCACACGTGACAGAATAAACAGATTTTCATTGTATTTTGCATACATGATATTGCTTTCGTATTTTACTTCAGCTGGTTTTGCCTCAAATCTGTTATACACTGTTATATAAAGTGGCATGTGTGTCTGTAAATAGAAGTATTTTTGTGAATATTCCATAAAGTATACATGTCTATGTCAATGTTGTAGAAGTCTATGGATTTTTTAAAAGATTTAACTGAGCAACTGTTGCACATTTCGTTAATGCTTTACACATATGCTGTTCTAAATTATTGCTGATGAGTTGTAAAATAAATATCAAAACTAAACTCTGCAGACTTCTTCTTGTTTAACACAAATTCTGTTTATGCTTACAGTCTCAAATGTTAGCAAAAGCAGGAAAGCTCAGTGAGAATGTGTGAAACTTTTCCAACAACTACGTACATGTCAAATCTCTGACTTGGGAAACAATGCACGAGTGTTTGCACAAAACAGTTCAGAGTACAGTATTATGAATACACACTACTGGAAGGCTAGTAGATGAAATGTATTGTTGCTAAGACTTTAATCAGCTGACAGGTCACAGCAGGGAATTTACAGTGTACAGTAGACCAAGGCTTTAAATACATGTCATGTGATGATGAAGTGAGATTACACTCAGTCTGTAGACGCTGATGAAAAACAAGGGGCCTCCTCCACACTTGTCAGAAGCTTTAAGCAGGATCAAACCCAGTCTTTGTTGTTAACATGTACCGACTATCTGCAATATAGTTTTAATCTTTATGCATAATTTCAACAGCTTTGTAACTCATGTCTCTGACGTGAGGCTTTCTAATGATCCTGGCAACAATGCAGTCCAGTTACAGTCAAATTATGCCTTTCAAGGTTTGGGAAAAAAACATGCAATTTGCTGCTCCTTTCTCACCTCAAATTACAATAAAGTATGACCTGACGGGATTCACAGTTGTAGCTCAGTATTATCATTGACCTATGAGAGCAACTTTGCCTTTTCTATAAGCTGACATTTCTTGTAATTTCATTCTTCTGTGGGAAAAACAAGCTTCTCCTTTAATTTTCTCCCAGCCATGTTGTGACCCTGTTTCTACCATTACTGAGTAAATGTCTCCATCTACTGGCGAAAGGATTGAAAAGCATGAAGAGCACATACTGGACAAACACCTTCTCCCTTACATCCACAGGCAAACCGTTACAATGAGCACCGGTTGTGACACTTTTCATTTTGTCAGATGGTTTATTGAATCATGCAATCCATGTCATATCAGCAGCCAGTTACAGCCATACATATGTCAACACTTGCAGTATATTAAGGCAGGACAAAAATAAAAACAGGTTATGTACAGTTGACATCGTACAGTTCTATAGAACATTATATGGTTGTAAACAGTGACCAAAACTACATCTCATCCACAGGTGGAAAATACACACAAGTGATTTCTTAAAGGGAAATTCTGCCCCGATATAGAGATTATCTCAAAGCTAAGAATTTAAAACGGTATGTCCTGATGAGGGTTTTTGTAGATGCTAAATGTTAAAGGGTGGACTTTGCTTCTGTTTTACATTTACTAGTTATTCCTGGGTGATGGAACCCAGGAGGCGGTGGCGCAGTGGACTAGTGCGTTGGTGATGGGATCAGTGGATCACAGGTTCAAACCCCACTGCAGTCAGCATGTCGTTGTGTCCCTGGGCAAGACACTTCACCCCAAATTGCTCCTGTGGGGATTGTCCACAGTATTGAGTATGTAAGTCGCTTTGGATAAAAGCGTCTAACAAGTAACATGTAATGTAATGGTGGTACTGATGTTCTCTAACTCTAATATATCTCTCTCAGGATCAATACATGTATTATTCTGGTAATTACAGTAAACAGTATGTGTTGCATGATGACAAAATAAATCAGATAATGTAAATGCATTTTACATCACATAGTATGATGGTGTCAATAATACATTGTCAGAATGAGACAGTAACATTTTCTCCATTGATTTTTTTATAAAATACTGACAAAAACATGATTACAGTTTTCTCTTTGATGCTGTGCTATTGCCATTTCTCTCTGTGCAGCAATGTGCCACTAATACATCTAGCAACATCAGATTTAAACTGACTAGATCATTGCTTCAATGTTTTCTACTAAAGCTTTGCTGTCATCATATGAATACACCAACTGTGGAATGAATAAGGCACTTTGATGTGATTAGCAGCTGAACTACAACCTAAGAGGGGCTTCATACCTTGACATTCCCGACTCTGCACACACACAAATCTCTTTAATCGCTGACTCAATCACACTCTCATACACACTGTAGCTATTCATTGTATTATAGCATGCCACCATTTTTAGATTCAACTAAGTGATTTACTGTACTGCGGGTGCTCTGCACATCCAGGTATGGCTATAGTACGACAATCATGCAACAAGACCTGCTAATCTTTGGCCACCAATCCTTACACAGAAAAAACAAGCATAATACATTTGGCCAAAACATACCATGTAGTCATCTAAACAACAAATAACAGCTTAAGAGGGTAATTAACACTGTTTCATTATGCAGATATTGTAGCGGGAATGAGGGCACTGCATATTCTGTAACCTCTGTAATAAAATATAATAATTCTCTAAATAAAGCTGAAAAGTAAGAAAACATATTTACAGTTAGCCAACATGTTGGTACATACGGACAGTAACATTCTTCGGTAACAAAACTATTGACCAGTTGTGCATAGTTTTAACATGAACAGACAATCAGAGCTACAGGAATACATTCTGATATGCAAAACGATATATTCTAGACTGGTTTAGTATTGACACAAGTGGATCCTTCATTTCTTATGTAAGAACCATTCATTATGCCGTTTTCACTGCAGAATATACATATAACTTTAGAGATATAATTAATAAATTCACATACCAAGGTTGTCAAGAATACTGTTCAAAAGGCAATCGTTTAGAATCATGATGCAAGTGAGAAAACAATACAAATCATTCAGCAGGTAATAAAGTGAGAGTATGTTAAGTGGATATGTTTATAAAGGACGTCCACAACAGCCTGATATTGATTTTGAAGTCCTTGTAAGTTCAGAAACTGAGCACCATGACATCTTTCATTCCCACTAAGTGCTCTACGACTTCCTTGTCAAAATCATCTTTGTTCCTTCACTCTGTGAGTCTTCACACTCCAGGGTGCCTCCTGTATTCGAGACAGTGCATAGTAGAGTTCCACTGAGGTATCCTGTACAAAGATATCCACTTACAGACGTGTGTTCTGGGCTCAGGGTGGGAGACGGTTCACACATAGATCCCCTCTGGGTTCAGGCCTGAAGTCAGGGGGCTGTGGAGGACCCGGAGGTGACTAGACATCGCATGCGAAACGGGGCGCTTCAGGGAGCCAGACAGGGGAACTAAATCTTAAAAATTAAAAAGACATAAGGAAGAAAAAATGTGGGTTTTAAAAGTTGTAGTGCTGAAAATAAACAGAGAGATTTTACACAAACTTTTTGTAGCGTTTTGTTTTTCCAAACTCTTCAAATTGATAAGAAACCCCATTAAATGACTTGTTTGAATAAAACAATGAAGCCCAGTGGACGCTACATGATATCGCTGCTATGAGCCACCAGGGGGCAGTACTGAGCCAAGCAGAGAATCAGCCGATGCAGAGATTTTTTATGGCCTGGCACCAAAGCTGATTTTACACACACAAAATGGAAGGTTACTAGAAGGACATGAACACTCAATTCATTACTTTTTTATAATTGAAATCCATCACTGCTAGGTTTAATAAAGAGACCTACTGCTCTCAATGCATGCAATGATGAAGTGCATGTCATGCAATCAGAAAGGTATCTGGGCTCTTTGGAGAGGGGAGAAATCTTTAATCTTAAATTAAAGGGGAAAAAGATCACCACTGCGTTTAGTTATTCCTCCATATGCTTTTCCATGTTTCACACAACCATGTGATTCATGCATGAGTAGACTGGTGGGCAATTTTCATTATTTTTAAACATTTCAAGTGCAGCATGAAATCCCATAAGCAACTTTTACATACAGTTTTAAAGGCAGGGTGCATGTGGGAAACTAAATTATTCATGGAATGGGGGAGGTTTAGTTTAATGTTTTTGCATGTAAATGTGCATTTAGATATTTATTCCTGTGCTTTAGTTTGGCACTTTATTTTTCAAGTCTTATTGCTCCCAAGCTTATTTTTACAAAGTGGTGCATGTCCCCGATTTAAACACGATGCACTGCTTTAGTCCCAAACCTCAAACTTTCTTCTCAAAGTCAATCTTAATTACCTTTACGTCACTAATTACGCTGTGGGTAGTTTATGACTGTAGTTTGAATAACCAGCTGGTCAACAAATGTTGCATTGTGACAGCTCTCCCATGAATCGATGCTCTTAGCTCTGCGTCAGCTCTCTGCTTTTCTGCTGTAGGATGAGCCTTGGTACAATGAGCCCATCACAGAAACTGCTGAGCATGTGATGGAGTGACAGCGTGATGGAAGCAGTGAGACGGACAGAGAGAGTAAGGTGAATGAATGACACCATGTCTGCCAGTATCCAGGCAGCTGTTGGCATGGTGACTATAATAGCCACTGGAGTGGGTAAAAAATAACACTGTTCTCTCCACATCCACAACCCCCCCCCCCTCCTCCCCTCCTCATTTTCTTGATAACAATCTCTCTCACATGCACGCACCCTCACATTTGAGTCATTTTCTCTCAGCAGGCTGTTAAGATATGAGGAAAAAATAATAAAAGTGCCTTGATGGAAAAGAACAGCACTTCATGCACTCTTATTGAAATAAGTCATGAGATGCCTGCATGAATGGCAATCATAAAGCGTTTAACCTCAGGCATTATGCAGTTTGACATACAATTCAGTTTTAACTGCTGACGGACCATTACTTACAATAACCAACCTGTATATGTTACTGTCTGCACTGTAGTCACCAGCTCAGTTCCCTACATGTCATAGAACAACAGGAAGATATACCGTGGCATACAGAACACTATATATGACTTCACTCCCATATCGAGTCGAAATTCAACTCTAAACCATATTCCCTAAGAGAACAAATTCCACAAATCTAATGTTAGTAAGAAAATGCTTTTACCTATGCCATGCGTGCTGTGAGGACTGTCCTCCTCGGAGGGTTCGGCCGGCAGCACTGTGACCTTGGTGCCGGTCTGCTTGATGAACTGCTGCAGGTTAACCTGCCTCAGCTCCTTGGTCAGCTGTTCCAGCTCCTGCTGCATGCCCTTCAAAGAAACAGTGAGGAGAGTCATTCTTTAGGAAACATAAGAGGATTACC